CTCTTTTCGAGTGAGACGCGTAGCGAGCTGCGCGTCTCTTCCTGCCTTTACGCATTCCTCTAGCAACCGAGCGGTACTGCCTTCATTTCAACATCCTATGATCGCCATGTTCGTTTCCACTCCTGACTTACCATGTCTGCATGTTCTTTTCTACCCGTCATCGTCTCCGCTGTTCCATCGTATATGATCCTCTGGTCTCCTTGTTCTTGGAGGCCTCCATAGTGCAGTCTCTTTTCAGCAACTGTTTGAATTCTGGTCGTCGAAATGAAGCTCCTATTCACCTCGATTGCACTTCACGCCGCTGTTGGTGACGCCCTGGTTTCGCGTGCCACATCATGGTGAGCCTTATAGTATCTCATTCTCTCAATCTATGTGCTGACAAACTTCTGGTTCCTTTCATCTTCAAAGCTCGTTGGGACCAGTAGACCAAATATCGGATGGCCAGAACAGAGTAAATCAAACCGGCCTCACCGCTGGTCAATACTCTATTGATACCACTGGAGGTCTGACCGACGCGAGCGGCCGTGGTTGCATCTTCACAGATCCAACATCACAGTTTCAGTGCGATGTTGGTGCAACTCCTTCGCCCGGATTCTCTGTTGGATGTGATGGCACTCTCGCCTATGAGAATGACACTAAATTCATCGCCTGTCCAACAGGCGATAATGGAGGCTACAACCTGTACACTACAGCACCAGGTGGACAACAGGATTGTGTCTCTACCACTTTGACCGCAGACAACTGCCAGTCCGGCTGCCCCGCCGCTGCTACCACGCCTGCAAAGACATGTCCACTGGATCTATCAGGAGCCTACGAGGTGAGTGTTTCATTGCAGAGTGGGGTTCAAATTGACCAACATACCACAAGTACCCCCATCTAATCGTCCCCGTCGATTCCTCGAATCCCAACAAAGCCTACGGAACATCCTACAACGGCACAGTCTCATCAACAATCTCGTCAATCTTCAGCTTTGACATTAAGAATGTTGACAACGGGAAGACATGCTCTCTCATTTTCCTTTTCCCAGAAAAGTCGCAGCTCGAAACCTCCTCGTTTGAGATATCTGGAAGTGGTGAGATTGATTTCTTCATGCTCGATGGATCTGCCACTGCTAGTACCACTTATGCTACCGCACCTGGAGTGGAGCAAGATTTGGGAATGGCTGCCTTTTCGCCAGGGCACACCTACAGCGTGGCAACTTTTCCTTGCCCTGGCGGAAAGACTGTGACTGTTGAAGCCGAGGCCTGTGGAGATACTTATTTCAACTACTTCCAAGATTACAATCCTTCTCCGTAAGTCTGGTATGCCATGATTTGTCAGATGTCGTGCTGACTACGAAACAGTATTGGATTGTACATTACCATTTGCTGAGCCTAACTTAAAGGAGGAACGACGTGCGATGGGTCTTTGCTATGATGGTTCATCAAGGTACTTGCCATGGATTTGGAATTCTTGAAATGTTGCCTTGATATGCGTGCATGCAGGATGTGCTTCTGTCTTTATTTTCTGAAATTGAAGGTGGTTGTGAAGATCTTGTAGATCAAAAAATGATGATTTGCTCTCGTTGGCTACACATCAGGTATCATTCTTGTTGTGCGTCAGCCTTACTTAGTGTTCATTCTCACATAGCAATCACTTGATCTGTCTCCGCATGGTCACCTAGATACCTTAATATGTGCACCTTGAGTTACTTTGCTGATGCAAGTTTTATTAACCATTCCTGCATAAAAGTATAATTATAATAAGCAGTCCCCGTCTGTTTCAGAATCAAGCTCCCGTCTGCGTCATATTGAAAACCCCACCACATCAAACACAAACCATAACAATCACAACAATCACGACTATCTCACGTCTTGTTCATTCTTGATTTGAACCTCATTCCAAGATAATTGACAAGCAACGATCAAACAAAATGGTAGAAAGAGCAAGCAGACCATCAGCCATCTCGGCCAACACGACCGGCCCTCAACCATCGGTACAATCGGATGGTTCCAAGGTCACTGCCACACTTCCAACCGGAGACTCGGTCGAGGTGCTCCTATACGGAGCGACGGTCACATCGTGGAAGAGTGATGGTTCAGAAAATCTCTGGTTGAGTGAGGCAGCGCACCTCGACGGATCAAAGGCGGTCAGAGGAGGCATCCCCGTCGTCTTCCCTGTAAGAAGTATCCCCAAGCTTAGGTTGTTCACAATGGAAAATATCAAGGCTGACAGGTATGGAAACAGGTCTTTGGCCCACCACCAAAGAACCACGCAACCTCCAACCTCCCACAGCACGGCTTCGCACGCATCTCCCGCTGGGAATACCTTGGCAAGTCATCTTCCGAGTCAGGCCCACTCTCCAAGGGCGGTGACGATGCCGTGAGACTCGATTTCGGTCTCACTCCAAACAACTTGAGTGAAGAGATGAAGCAGGCCTGGCCTTATGATTTCAGCCTGCAGTACAGCATCACCTTGGGCAAGAGTGGCCTTCGGACCATGCTCGGTGTGACAAATCAGGGCGACAAGCCTTTCGACTTCCAAATGCTCACCCACACCTACTTCGCCGTCCCTGTGAGTTTGAATGTGCCGACTCATATCTACATGACGCAAGCTGACTGTCTACTTCCCCCAGGACATCTCCCAGGTCAAGGTCACCGGTCTTGCTGGTGTAAAGTACAACGACAAAGTCCTCAACGGTACCGAACACGACTCTACCTCTCACGAACTCACCATATCCAGCGAAGTCGACCGCGTTTACAAGAACCTCAAGCAAGACACCACCTCGATCCTTGTCGATGGCAAGCCCCGCTTCGATGTCACTAGGGACAACCTCCAAGACACCGTCGTCTGGAACCCATGGAAGGAGGGTGCTCAGGGCATCAGCGATTATGCTCCCAAGGACGGCTACAAGAAGATGGTGTGTGTCGAGTCTGGTGCCGTCAGCGGCTGGACGACGCTCGAGGCACAGGATGGTTTCGAGGCTGGACAGCTTATCAAGAGCCACATCTGAGGAGATTCAAAAATGGAGAAGCATGCGGAAATGAATTCATGACCTTTTGGCATAGACGAGTCGGCATTGTACATGTCGATTTGGAAAAAAGCGACTAGTCGGCCTGCACTTGGCCACTGCAAGTCTACACATTTGCATTAACCAGAGCAAGACTTTTGCACGTCCTGTCACACTGTTTCGTGGCCCGAACTTTCCCGTTTTCTTCTTCCTGTCGATTGCAAATGCCGACGACTTCTCTGCTCTCAAGGCTTAAGCATGCCCCACCATCTACCCCAGTTCTTTCTCCACAGTGAAGAGCGGGGGAAAGCGGGTCCTTTCCGCATCCCACACCTGCCACTCACACAACATACACCGCAAGTGCCGAGCACTGCTCCACCTCAGCAGACAAATGTAGCAAAGACAGCGGGTATTAAGTAGATATAAAAAGCCGACGCGAAGCCCATCGCTCGCCTCCGCCTCTCCTTGCTCTCCTCTTTTCCCAAAACCACTCCAATCCACAATGACAAGCCCCGTAGCCCTCATCACAGGCGCCTCCTCAGGCATAGGCCTAGCACTAACAAAGCACCTCCTCACCAAATCCTGGCGTGTAATAACCTGCGACATCAACCCACCCCCCTCAGACCTAGGTCTCTCCACGCTCTTCATAAAAACCGACGTCTCCTCCTGGTCCTCGTGCGCAGCAGCCTTCTACACAGGCACCACCTGGTCCCGCGGGCGCCTCGACCTCTGCGCCCTCAACGCTGGCATCGACGACCGCGACGACATCTTCGCCTCTTTCACCTCTGACCCCTCCTCTCCCCCCGCAGAGCCAAACATGCTGACTTTCGGCGTGAATCTCTACGGTCCGTATTACGGCTGCAAACTCGCCGCCCATTATATGGCGCTCAACTCGCCGCCTGGGGGTAAAATCGTGATTACGGCTAGTAGTGCGGGGTTGTATGCTTTGCCTCCTATCCCGCAGTATACGGCTAGCAAATATGCACTTGTGGGGTTGACGAGGGCGTTGGCACCGGTTGCGGACAAGGTCGGGGTTTGTGTTAATGCTATTTGTCCGGCTATTGTTGCGACTGGGCTTGCTCCGCCGGGGTTGATGGATGCGTTTGAGGAGAGGGTTAGGACGCCTATGAGTACGATTATGAGGGCTTTCGATACATTAGGGGTTTTGGACATTGAAGAAAGAGACAAGGACGGCGAGGCGGGAGTGGATGGGTTGGTTGGGTCGGATGGGTTGACTGGGGATAGAAAGCCAGCGAGGAATCTGAATGGTATGATTGTCGAATGCAGTCTCGACAACCTCTATTTCAGAAACGAGGTGGACAAAGCCGATGATAGTCAGAAGTTTATGGCGCAGAGTGAGTTGTTCTTTCTGCCCTTCTCCCACCCCTTTCTTTCTCTTTCAGTCCTTTGCTTACGTTGTTTGGAACAGGTGCGCTTGATGCTTGGGCCGCTGCGTATACTGAACGCAATAAGAAATTCGCTTTGCAGAGTCAAGCACGGCAGACATGAATGAGGCGCTCTTTGTGCCATGGTAGTGCAGACACGAGGCGAGAAGGGTCGCTCCCCCTCTTTTGACGACTAGATCTGGGTCTCAGACTTTGATTCTACGGACAAGGGACAGCTGTAGCAATGAAAGAAGTCGTGTACTCGTATCTCTCGAAGTCCAAGGGCAGGACGGGTAGGTCACCGTAAATACCGCTAGAGCCGTGGCAGTGGCAGAAAAATGAACATGTGCCGAAAGAGCAGAGAGATTCAGCACGGTGACTTATCAGCTTATACAAAAACCAAGCCCTCGCACCGCAATGCCTGAGCTCAGATCTGTTTTCCTCGAACCGTAATGTCCTTAACTCCAAAGCCCAGCCCAGTGCTCAAGCATAACTGAGTTCAAGCACAACTGAGATAAGGTAAGGGTGGATAAGGTAAGGATGGGTAAGGTAATGTAAGGATTGGAGGTAAGGTAGCGGCTTACTTAGGCAGCTATATCTCCCCTCATCCCCCAATCTCAAACAAAGCAGCGTTAGTCTAACGGTATGATTCTACTCAACCAATCGCTTCGAGCGTACACGGTCTTTACCACAGGCGCGGAGCGCGCCGGGAGAGTGTCTAACTCTTTGGCCTGGTGATAAGTAGAGATGTAGGTTCGAATCCTACTCGCTGCAACTGCTTTTTGGTCCAATGCCACAGCTGAATGGATTTTGGTCTAGTGAGCAAGCATAGTGAGTCTATATCTTTGTCTGTTTCTGAATCATTATAAAAGCAGCGGTGGTCTAATGGTATGATTCTACTCTTCCAATCGCTTCGAGCGTACACGATCTTAAGACTAGGCGAGAATCTTGCCGGGACGGGTGCTTGCACTCTTGATCTGGTGAGGTGGAGATGTAGGTTCGAATCCTACTCGCTGCAGTTATCTTTTGGCATTTTGTTGCGGTGGACTTGTTGCCCTTTTTCGAGTTGCGTGGTGATGGTTCGTTCCTTCTATGTTTGTTTGGGGGAAGGGTGGGGGGAAGGGTATTAGACATAAGGGTTTGGCTGCAGTGGTTTGTTTGGTGCACGCTGAGCCTATTGACTGACTGACTGACTGACTGACCACAACTGATCATTATTTCGGAATCTTTTCTTTCCTTTCTACCCTAGCATTAACTCTATGCTTACCTTACTTTCCTGGCTTTTGTTCACATACCTTATACATGCATACACCCCAATCTGTGCTCTTGTACAATAGCAGCAGTAAACCCGGTTGGGAGAGATACTGCTCAAGCGCTACTCTGGCCAACGTCAGGCTATTGGCGTTGGGCCTCTCGCACTGCCTTACGTATAGACTACATGCAGGAGCGATAAAGGCTAACCACAGAGCGCAGAGAAGATGCACATCTGCTGCAGGATCCCTATCAATGCATTTGGCTACCTTATGGATGGATCTGCAATTGGACCTTGACAAACGGGTGCGGACGGTCATGTGTTGTAGTCGAACGACGTGTACCTGACGTTGAACCTGCGAGTATGAATCATTGTGTTTCCATCAGTGGGATCATAGCCACAGAGCCAGATGAACGAAGATGTGAGGTCTTGGCGATGCATATACTGAGCCAGTGACGTCTCATCAATTTGGGCGGTACCTGTCGTCCTACCGGTACTCTCCCGTCCTTTGCATGGAGGCTGCATGTGCATGCATGCATGCTCGTCTTGGGAATCAGATCATGAATGCCGGCAGGACTGTGTGGAGCACAGACCCGCTCACCACGACAAGCTTCCCTGACTTCGCTTTTCCTAAGTTACTGAAGGTAGCATGACTGGATGCAATTGATCATCGAGATGTCAAGGTTGTCATTGCTGTCTGTTCCCTATCACTTATTCGATAAGCAATACCCTCTCTCAGGGTTGTAGGAAGATGTACAAGTCAACCAATAGTCAAGCCGCCGATCCTATTCTGTTGCTGGATGTATGCATGAGGCCTGCTGCAATAATCGGGACCGATTACCTGGAAGCTGGCATTCAACGTAAACAAGCTAGGTAGATTTCCACTCATTCTTATCTGTGAAATAGTATCGAGCTCACTTGGACTCATCTCAGGAACTGATTTATAATAGATAAGTCTGCTTCTTGATCCGCTCAAAGCGATATTGACTTTGCATCACACTTCCTGGTGGTTCTCCTGTTACATACCACACTATACCGCACTGCACATAAAGATCGCTTATCGCCTACATGGACTAACCGATGACGTCGAGCTGATGGAGAGCGTCCGATCGAGTAATGGAAGGCTTGAAGGTTGCCAAGTAGTGGAGAGGCTGGGATAGAGAGGCTGGGACACCGGGAGTGGCCGTGTCTTGTCAGCGCGATGAGTTTCCCCAATCTTGGTACAACATCCAAGGACAGAGATGCAACGATCGGTCTTGATGGCACACTGGCTGTTAAGGCTATCATATGCTGTGGCGTAAGGTAGTGTCGCGTCACGACATCAAACCAGCACAATCTTGCGACGCCATGGACATGCATGCATCCTACGTTCAAAACGAGCCTCACGAAACGCATCAAGGCTGCTGCAACATGACTTGAGGTTATGTGAGCTTAGAAAGGGGGAAGCTGAGCTGTCGCCATCTATGTGACTGGACGAATCAACGCGCATGGATGATCCGATAAGGTATACGGACTTGCCAGCTACTGCCAAGTCTGTCACTCGTATAGAGGAGGGGGCTATAGCTGATGATCGTTATATCGCTTCATTTGCCATGGTCAAGTAAGTTTACGAGGAAACTTGCATGCATTGCCTTATCAACGTTTACGTTTCAATATATATGAAGCAGTGGGCTACGAAATGATTTTCGTAGCATCGGTCTCCTTGCATCCAAAGATGCTGTAAGATTCATTCACGTATAGTTGTGGACTGCACAGTCGCGAATAGCTACTACTACTGGCTATGGCTGCAGCATGTGTGACAGTGGCAGACTTCAGCTGCGGTTTAAGGCTCCAACAACAAGTAGGTGGGAACAGGATTTGTACTTTGTACTTACATGCTGATGCTATGACACCGCATATCTGGACAGTCAACTTATGGACGAGAAGGTAAATATCCATGTGAACATACAAGTACGGCGCTCACATGCTCATTTTGTTTGATGAGAGACGGAAATGTGTAAATCCACTTCCTGTACTCACCACTTGGTCCTTGCTATAAACCAAACATGGACTTTTCAGCCGCTGCATACCGTCTATTACCTGGCCTTGATTTGTGATAGAGTTTACCTTTCCAACTTGAAGGTAGGACTATACGTTTTGAGGATCTAGATGTTGATCACAATACCATTAATGACCAGCACTACGAGCCCATTGCCTAACTACTGCGCCCTTTGTCGCAGTACGATCCTGTCTTTTGTTCTGGCTTCCAATACTGACTTTTCCAAAAGCCATGATGAGACTTCCATAGTGAGTAGTGCTCTACTTGCTCAAGCTGCAATGCCAGTGCGCCGCTAAGTTTGTATACGTACGTATGGCAGAATATATCCTCTGAGAAGTGTAACTGACCTGTAAAGCACAGTACTCGACTACCAAGCGCTGTTGTGTGGGCTGCATTCACGTAGACGCCCTATGACCATAGATGATTCAATATCAAAGCAGCAGCTAATCTGCGGACGGCCTGTAGAATATCGACTTGTCCTTTGGCTATTCGTGCCATCTTCGCCTATCTACTGTGTCTGCGGCGCTGAAACCAGCCTTTGCTTCCAGTGCTCCTTTAAATTCACCACGCATTTGTTTGCACTGCTGATGACTTGTTTGAACTTGTGAGCAACGATTGTTTGAAGTAAACTCTCTACCACGTTGGTACAAGCAAAATGGGATTGGGCAGTTGGGGAGGGGGGTGTGGGTAGCCAAATACAAGCACGCAATGTGGTGCAAGTCGCTCAACTTCAATATGTAGATTGGTCTGTGACTGCAGCAAGAAGCACAGCCTTCGATTGGACAAATCAACGATAAATTTCAGGTCAAATCAAGAGACTTACGAGACGAACAGGTACGATACAACGCTCGTGGCCCGTAACAAGCCTTTTCTCCTCGTCGCTCGGTACACTGCTGCCTCTGGAAAGATAGACTATAGGAGTCGAGCTGTCCATATGTGTCTCCTCATCGAGAATTGGAGTACCGACTCTAAAGTATTTTGATTAATGACGCGAGGCCTCCTCGCGTACGCCAGCTGTTTGACTAGCAAGACTGTATGTGATAAAGACTAGCACGGAAAAGTTGTTCGTGCATCTTGCCTCAGGAGTTTCGGGTAAAAGCCTCGGGCCATCACGGAACTTGGTCTAAGGATCATAGTCGATGTCCGCCTATGTGATAAGTAAAGGTATCATCTAGTACGAAAGGACTAGGGAAGATCTGGAGCTTCTTGATAGGATGTTCGGCCGTAAAAGTGTTAGGTGGTCGCCTGATCGCTGTGTACACGTGCAACGGGACAGTACTGTGGTCCGGCAAAAGCAGTATCTTGTACCATCGCACGACTACCACCGAGATCGTCTCCGCCAGATACTAGACTTCAGGAAGTAGGTACCGCTGCCAGTATGGCTGACACAAAAGCTCAGTTCACGGAGGACTCTCCTTTTCTTGCCTCTTGGGAAAGAATACCCACCCTGTGTGTCAGCAGCTCAGTGAGTCACTTTTGAGCTGAGAGTGTTCTCGAGGCTGCCGTATAAGTTTGCCGCCGATCGAGAATGGAACCATTCTGGTGCAAAATGAAACAGGGTTGCCTCCCGGTAACTAGTGGCTAACCAGAAAACTCCACATGCGGACAAAGTATACTAAAAGGTAGATACGGTACAGAAATTGTGGTAAATCAGAACTCATCAGATTTTGATGAATGATGCATGATTCTTATTATATGGACTGAGGAGCATCCGGACTGTGAGGTTTGAGTTTTGGCTCGGTTGAGATGACTAGAAACTTGGTTGACATAGACAGTGTCGAGAATTGGTCCACTGATAGCAATATGTCAATTAGATGTAGCCGGGAAAGAGCTATCGAGATAGTTTCGAACAGACACTGCCAAGGAGGTCGCCACCATCTTGAGTGGTATTGCCAAGGATTGTTTCCGATGAATTACAACAGAAGATAATGAAAAACTTCCGAGACCCACCAGCATGGCTACTGCTGTGAAGAAGGCTGTGCACGCGAAAGCTAGATACTAGCTTAGAAAAAGCCGGTTTTTTGGCCACTGAGTGGATGCAAAGGGCCAGCCCAGTCTGATTCGAGCTGCCTCCAGGTAAATCAAGATCTTCACCATGGAGATGGAGCCAGGATGATTCGTCGTTGGCATCGCGAACAATCAATCATGTGGTAAGCGGAGTGTTTCTTCAGGTAGCAATCTCACAGTGCCAAAGCTTATGGTCATCAAGCTTTGGCAGGGCCGAGCATGTATTGAGCCTGGGACCTAAAGTAGAGAGCTCGCGTATTTCGCGCTCATCATCATTATAATGTATCGAAGCGACGTTTTGTCGGCAAGGCTTCTCTATCAACAACATGTACGAGGTATGTTGGAGGGATGGATTATGCAGCTGCTTCCATTAATCACATTAGCGTCAATGACGTTTGTCCAATGTCGCGTAGCTGCCGGCTTGGATACGCAGCCCAAGCTACAACTTCACCCCATGCATAGTTGTCATCCGTGTGGCTGCCCGTGGCTCGGCATGGTGTCTTGATTCAGGCTGTTGACTTGCAGTCGAAGTTCCACCGCAGGATTGCCTGCTTGTTTCTGCGGATTTCGTTCTAGGTGTGGCTAAGGTTGTACAAGGGCGTCCTTGGATAGCTAGACGGCTCAACCGGAGGGTGGCATGAAGACCACTGTGAGGGCTTGGGACGTGGGTTGGCAGCTTGGAACTATGAACCAAGATACGGCGAAAGGGCTCCAGGGTTAT